CTTCGAGGCGAGTTTCTCTCGGATTTCAACTGAATTCAATGACTGCTCTAGAGCCACCCCATTCTTTACGACTCATATTATCAATCAGTAAGCTATAGGCCGGAAAATCAATGGCAATAGCCTTCCCTCAATGCCAATTTCTGAACCTTTAGGCGAACCAGTGAGTCGAGAGAGACTATAGGCCAACCATACGAGTAGGAGAACCAGTGGAGAAAAGTTTAAAACATCGCTACTCTAAAGACTTCCAAGCCAGCTCCTAATCCTAAGCGCAGCGAACCTAAGAGATCCAATTTCGGCCGATAGGCGCCCACGCAGAGTTTCATTGCGAAATAAAATACAATACGTATATAAGACAAGACTGACTGGATACTTTAAGTGTGGGGCGATAGCAAGACAGAGGTGATGGCTATTCACAAGATTAGCAATTGAAATAGGACTGGGGTCCACACTCAACCCTCTCACTCGGAACCGCTTAGCAAACTCGGCTGAGCCGGAATGAAGCGACTTTTTTGCTGAGATCGTGACTCCTAACTTTAGGAGTACCTGCTCGTACACTTGGGATACACACGTATCAGCGATGAGAACATCATCACCGAGTACTGCATATCTTGTGAAGCGAACTCCAGGGTGCTCTGCAAACCACCCAATCCGAAAATGATGTGTGAGAGCAAAGACGGGCCAAGAGGCATGGTAACCCAGAGCAGAGGTTGTCCGACGGCGAATTGAACCTTTTTTTGTTTTTAGTAAAAGCCCTAAATCACTTGAGCCCTGTCTAGGTCTGGCTACCTATAAAGATCCTTCCCCGAACAGGAACTTGCTCGATCCGTGCAATTTCGATATTCCAATTCTTGTTGTCGGGTGAAGTTTTTAGTCTTTGAGGTAGTAATCCAATTTAGCACTTGATGAGTGTGCTAAATATAGCGCGAGATGTGATGTATTCTCGTCCGATGAGTAAGCCCTGCCTCCGAGTCTTCTACTGGTCACATGAACAGAAGTCTTGTGATTGGGCACGCCATTAGCGCGATCATTGGTCCGATGGATCAAAATCGAAATAGCTTTTTTTAAGTGTACACAAAGCATCCTTTCTTGCCTTTGTCTCTTGCTGGTCCGGTCATTCTCCCCAAGCCATAGGCCCATAAGGCGAGAGGCTTCTACACTTCCTAGCCTTGGTTCAACATAGATCAGATCCTACTCCCACTCTATCAGTTAGGCCTTAACTGGACACCTTCTTTTCGCATCTCTGGCTTAGTCTAGTCCTTCTCCTTTCCCTCTTTCGTTTCCATGGCAGTTCTCTTTAGAAAGAGTAGGGGGCCTGCTGGGATGTCGATTCATCAAGAACACCACATCGATGAAAAAGAAGGCGGCTCTTTCTTAGTTGAATTCTAGAAAGGAAAGGTCAGAGAGAAGACAGGTTACGCCGAGACCTTGATCTTTCATTCCTTCCCGGGTTCCTTGGATGATTAAAAGTAGCAAGCAGTGCTTATTTCTCACTGGGATGGAGAACCCGTACCCATTCCCAACTCGACAACCAGAGACAGGCGACGTAGCCTTCAATTCCATTCTTCGTCTCCCTAGTCGCAGTATTCTTGCTCAACCCAACATGTATTTTATAGTGCCGTGCCGGGGCAATAGGCGCGCCGCAGTCACGCATTCGAGCAAGAGCCTTTTCTTTTCTTAGCTATGTAAATAGAGGGCCGGAGGAACGTTAGCTATTTGATAGCCTCAACAAAAGAATGGATTAAGGTGATAGAGTGTTACAGTAGACGCTAGGCTTCGTAATTTAAAAAAGAAAACGCTTTATCTGGCGGTCTCGTATACGTATAGTTGATCACCGCTGCCAGAACCTCTCAATCTCATAAGAGAAGAAAGCGTAAAAAAGAGCTTCCTCTATAATAAGAAATTACTATTATTTATCACCCGAGGGAACTGAACTCACTTAATCCTCATCTCTTGAACTCACTGAAACCAAGCCAATGGAGATTGGCGGGTAAGATGCTGGAAATAGACTTCGCCGAATCCCTTTTCATTACATCCAACCTTTGCTACTTCTGCTACCGCAGCCCTTGCTGATTGACTTGATTGGTCCCCTTCCACCTTTCTAAAGAGGAGAGAAAGAAATCCCCCTACTCGCCGAAGGAAGAGGCATCTCATGCCATGCTTCTTCTGTCCACCAATCGCATTCGTGGATATCTTCTTGCAGGAGTGGTGCTTTGGGAAAGAAGTGACCTGACTTCCCCAGGTCTGAGTTTAGTTGCTATTGAGGAAGATCCTTGTTTGGTTTTCAAATATGATACTTCCTCCAGCACCGGTTAGTGATTCAATCACAGCTTCTGCTGTAAGACTGGCTACGAGAGCAGTCAGAGCTGATACGATCACATTTGAGAAGTCTCACGGGCCCTCCTTAGCTAGTCTTATGCCATTCGTGCCCTACGACTAGTAGTCCTTTCTCTTATTATACGACGATAGCACTCGCAAATCCCACTAACAACCGATTCTATACCAGCAGATGAAATAGTACCGGAGTCATTTCCATTAAACCTTCCACCAAGAACTGATTCAATAGCTGCGCTTACGGATAGTTGACCAAGAGCCTCTACGATCAGATCTGCAGCGGAAATGCCATTAACAGCGGGTAGGCAAAGAACGGTTATTCTCGATGCAGTGGGAACAGTAAGAGCGGAAAGGGTTATTACAAGACTGGGTATTCAATAGCCAGGGATGACAGCTTATTCCCCCAAAAGCAAGGGTCTCTGCAGTTTTCCTTGGTTTGCTATATGAGTGTTCTTAGATTACCTTATTCTGTTGATATAAGAAATTATATTCAATTCTCACTTCCTCCTCTTTATGGTTAAGCCGATAAAGAAAGATGAAGTCGAAAATCTCTGGACTTTCATGCATAGTCTAACAGGTAATATTTGGGAAGATTGAAATGAAGTTTCAGTCTTAGGTATTAAAGACAGAATCAATGGCACCGGCACACTATTCGTCCTATTTGGAGCCAACTAAGGAGTTGCGAAAGCCTGCTCCTACACCTCCAGATCAAATGGCTTTCTCGAATAAATTAAATAAGAATATTGAAGCAGGTCGCAGGCCGACCATGAAGAAGACGTATCGCTACATCTCTAGTGAGCAACGTCGAGAAAGTGATCCCATCTTTAATATCAGGAGTCTCTCTCGAAGAGGTTCCATGTCTAAGACTCAAGATCTCTCCAAACGTGGTCATACCAGTTGATGCCACTAAGGCGGAGAGAAGAGGGAAGAGGAAGCGCCCTGCCACTAGACGTCCTCCTTTACGTTCTCTTCTACGAAAGTTCGATGTTCCCACAACTGTCGACAAGAATGAAGGTCGTGAAGCGTCACTCCCCGCTGCATCTGCATGATTATAAAGTAATTCACTTGATGACGGAAATGGGCTATGACCCTTTCAAACAAAGGTGAAGAGCTTTGCGTTCCAACGACATCTTTAGCCCTCAGTCTCTACTGCTATTGGCAGCTCAGTTCCTCTAGCATCTGATTGTGGGCATCAACATATAAGAAAGGTCTTCTTTGGCAGATGGAGGCCATACCGAATCAAATACTAGAGTAGAGAAATTCTTTAGCGAAATGCCACATCCGACGTGTGCTCGGAATCCTACGCAGTAGCAAATAGGCTCTCTTAACTTTATACCCATACCCCCAACTACGGGAGACAAGGCGTCTAATTTGGCCATTTTTCAAACTATTCTCTAATAAGTAATAAGTAAGATCGTGCCCCTGCCTTACTTCTTTCGGTATACAGCCCTGATACATGACATGAAAAGTCGCTGGCAGGATAGGCCCTAAGTCATTTTTTATTCTCTCTCGCCGCGGCTAGTGATGCGCTACGATGGTTTGCAAAGCTATCCAAGCAATTCTTTTATTCTTGGTCTCATTTAAACGAGTCTTTCTTTTCGTGGCACGTTTTCACGATCACTCTAGAAGAGTGACTATTGAACAAGTGAACACACTGCGATCCCTGCAATGCGAATCAGCTAGTCAATCCATTTTTGCTAAGCTGAATAGATATGAGGCTCTATAGCCATAGCCCGCATCTGCACCCAGAGACTCAGATGCTATAGTCAAAGCTTCTAGTGCGGCCTTGGGTGACCTCGGCAGCTTTGCCTCCCACTTTTGTAGAGCTACTGACAGCCTTGAAGAAGGGAAGCACTTCAATGTCTGCATGTCAGATGACCGGTGCTACCAATCCGGACCCTGTCCTTCCATTACGTATATAAAGTGTGCTTACGCATAAAAAAGGCTTAGGGGCTCCCGGCCCGGACTGAGAATTGGATTTTTCCCAATCTCTTTCTATCTCGCATGATGGGGCGAAGAGAGTTTCGAACTTGGTAAAGTCTAAGGCAATACCAATACTACTACTCTCTACTAATGACATATGATTTCACTGTAGAGCAATAACATAGAGAAATAGAATATAGTAAGGTAGTATAGTGTAAAAAGGACCAAGGACGAATAAAGAAGAAGAAGGAGTAGGAGCTAATTCGAACGGAATCGAATGATTACGAGATAAACAATGAGACAAAGCCAAGCACTGAGACAATTCACTTTGAGTACAGGGAAGTCCGCTGGTAGGAATTCTTCAGGGCGTATTACTGTTTTTCACCGAGGGGGTGGATCGAAGCGATTGCAGCGAAGAATGGATCTGAAACGAAGCACTTCGTCTATGGGCATTGTAGAAAGGATAGAATATGACCCTAATCGTTCTTCTCGGATCGCTCTAGTACGATGGATCGAGGGGGTGCAGCTACGCTGCCAGAGGAAATGCAAGACGATAGAAGAGTTCGCTCCGCCGCGTAAGATCCTCGAACCTACCACGCCCACCATACGCGGACTCTTTTCGTTCTCTTCCCTGTCCGTGAAGGTGGATCAAAGAAAGGTAGCTTGCTTCTCTCCTGGACTGATGGAGGCTTATGTAGTGGTCGGCCTTCCTACCGGAATACCTCCTTGGTCGAAGAGCCCCTTTACTAGTAAGGGCGCAGGAAGCAAAAAAACTTGCGCGAAGGACGTCTTCTTCTCTGCCTTCTCCTCTCCAAAGGCCAAGGGGGACTGCATCCCTTTCCTTCGGTAGCTCTTTGACTTTCCCAAGGATAGCGGTAGCTGGGGCAAAGCCCGCTTTCTGCTCCGCGAATGAGAGAGAAAGTAAGAGGAAAAAACACATTCTGCTGAGGTTCGAAAGTGGAGAACACGCAACGTCCTGCGGGCACGTAGGATCGAACGTAAACGGCGGCTTTGCGCGGTTTAGGCGATGCAAGAGACTTTAGGGCTTGTTGGAGCTTCTGAGCATAACGAATCGAAGCCGAAGACGGATCAAGGTAGCTTGCCTGCCAAGCCGATAGGCGAAGTGCCGAAGGATGGAGCGTGCAAAGTCGATCGTGCCCCTGTCGTGTGACCCGTTGGTCCTAAGCAATGTCTTGCGCGAAGCGACCCACCTAGAAACAGCTCTCCTTTATGTTAGGGGGTACTAAAATGGAACTTCGATCGGATGCGGGTATTCAATCCCGCCGCTGAGATGTCCAGCGGATTCTTGGGCCTTGACGAATGGCCGGCCACCTTTTACGTTAGAAGAGCAAAAGGCCCGGGGCATAGCAGGATGAACCAATGTGAATGAGTGTAAGCTTCGTTGCCCGAACACGATTGGTGCTGACCACACTAGGTGCTACCGCGGTAGCAAGAGAGGCCAGGCGGTGACAATTGAGAGGTTGTCACTGAGCATTCCTAGTCACACGGGAAGAGAGGTCAAATGGCAAGGCCATACGCCCGTTTGGCTCCTCGCGGAGTATAGCTCACATCCAAACATCCGGTTGGGGAACGGGGCAGCGCCCGTAGGCTCCGGCGGGAAGGCCCTCGCCGAGTACGTATGCCCGTGGGTGCGGGATTCTTCGAAAAATCGCGGGTGACTCGGAGGCCTAGGACCTTGACTTAGCAACGAATGAAGGGGAAGCTCACTCGAGCTTTCTCGCGGCCGGCTTATATAGTGGTCGACCTTGCTCCACAGCTTCGCTTAACGCAGTGCTTAGTAATGCCTCCCAGCCTACATTGCTTGCCCCGCCGAAGCTCGGAATGCCCTATTACTGTTATCTAGTTAGAAGCTAACCACCGAAGCTCACCCGCCGAATTGCTCCCGGCTTCCGGCGCGGGAGGCCAAGCATTCTGCCGGACGTCCCGGCCTGGGAGCCCCGGTCGCCTGCTGATGCTTCAGGTAGATCTTCAAAAAGAAAAAGAAAGACTTCAATGCAGCCTTAACTACAACTACATTACGCAAGCTCCACCAATACCTACCTATAGAGTCAAAAAAGTACCCGTGACGGTGACTTTCTAGGTTTATGGATTCAGTCAGCTAAACTCCTCAATAAATATCAACAAACAACATGTCGTGACCGGTGTAGCTAAGTTTCCAAAGGTGAACAGCCCCCTGTCCTTTATAGTCGTAAAGGGCTTCTCAGAAAAGTAAGGAAGGGGGCATTCGAAAGGCCGACCACTATATCATAGGCCTTCTGGTAGGAAGGCCGACGACTACACGGACTCTATACCAAGTCATGAGCGATAGCGAAGCCAAGCTGCCGCCTATAGGCGAAGGGGTTTACCGACGAAGACCTATGATATAGTAAGAAAGAAAGTACGAAATAAAATAAGGTTACGAAGTCACTTAGCCGTCTACAAAGGGAAAGGCGTCGGTACGGAGCCACGTCAGCTGTGGATATAGACTAGGCGCTATAAGGAACGGAGTCTTAAACTATGGACCGAGACTACACTAAGGAACAAGGAAAAGGAAGTTTGACTGAGCAAAGAAGTCAAGGAACGAAGCTGCTTCTCTAATAGCCCCGTTGAATAGGAGGGCGAAGGCTTTTTGAAAAAGTCTTTTTTGTCTGCATTTTTTTCTAATTTCTATTTAGAGAGAGGGGGCTTCCAGTTCTTAGGAAGAGCCGTACGAGGCAGCTCACGTACGGTTCGGGAGCCGAGCCCCGGCACAGGGGCTTAGGTCAACACTTATATAATAGCCAGTCATCAATTGGAAGCAGGCAAAATGGTGATAAATTGCGATTGGTCCAAACCTTCGACCCGCGACTTATTGCGACCCGCCCGGAATGCCCATTCATACTAAGACCTTATTCACACAGCGAAGAAAGGCCGAGTGGAAGGGGGCAGTCAGCTGGCTGCTTCTTGGCCACGCCTCCCCTGCTTATAGACAGGCGAGACTCTCTCTAAATTCGAAAATAGAAATCGCATACCAGTAGTCGATATACGTATAGGAAGATGGTTACATTATATTAAATGTCATTCAGGCCAAGGCTGGCTCGAGCCGCAGGAACTTTAGCTAAAATAATGAAGGAACCAGCACCCCCTACACTCTCTCTTAGGCTTGTGCGGCTACCTTCGGGTGTTGAAAAAGTCATTGATTCCCGATGCCGAGCTACTATTGGTATAGTTTCCAATCCCAACCATGATGCACGAAAGCAGGATAAAGCCGGTGGTTAGGCAGACGCCCCATTGTTCGTGGTGTTGCAATGAATTCAGTGGATCATCCTCATGGAGGAGGTGAGAGGCGCACAAAAGGTAATGAAATTCGGCGTCACCTTGAGGGAAGCCCACCCCAGCTGGATTTCGGGCAGGAGTGGGGAAAGGCAGAAATGAGTTCATGCCACGACGATCTATATGGAAGGGCAGTTTTTTTTTATGCATTCCTGTTGAGAAAGTCTTTTTTTATTTAGTTCTCCAACTCCGGATGAGTTTGATTGAGGCCTCCGGCGCCTCTTTTGAAGACTTTTTGTTTCGCCCCTCAGGGAGGAAAAAAACTGGATTTGGTGCCCTCCAAGATCCCCCTCGGGCTCGGGGGGCCTTTGCCTTCATTTCTTGAAGAGCACGAGGTCACCTCTTCATCAATATAAAGGAAGGCCAGAAAAAATGTTTTGAATTCCCCCAGAACCCAATAAAAAATAGCGGTAAGTGATGAGGGGGCGGCTTCTCTTGTGGTAGTAATTGCGAACTCATTCCATTTTTGGAGGATTGGTTCCCTGTTCCTGCGGCTGAGAAGCCTCAAGCTCCGCCCCCCTTAATTTAATCAACCTCTATAAAATAAAAAAAGCCCTTTCCCTAATTTTTTAAGAGAAGAGAGATTTATTACATCCAATTACAAACTACACGAAAGTTGTCCATTTTTTAAAGGAATGTAGTCATCGGCAAGGTCTTGACTTAATTCTTTACAATGCATTGGAGCTAGGGATAATCTAGTTCAGTCATTACAGTTATAAATTTGGGGAGGAAATAGAAAATAGGGGATGGGGTCAGTTACCGTTGGAAGGCTAGGCAACTAAAGTCGAAGTCGGCTAGCTGGTGGTTCCAAAAGAAGTTCATCAGACAGGGAAAGGATTACACTCTTTTATACTTCGGTCCCCTTGAGAAGGCTTTCCCTAAAAAGGAAAGGGCTGTAGTAGCAGCGTATTAAAGGGCAACCACTTTTTTGGGGATAGGCCAGACAAGAGAAGTTTTCTCTGTGCCCGAGAAGAGTGGAATCCCTGGTTGAGTCTCGAGCAGTTTTTCACTGATCATAACCAAGTGCTTGTTGGGACGTCTTAGACCTTTCAATTGGCCTTTATCTCCAAAAAATATCGATACTTTTTACATACAAAGAATTTACTTGTTACTAATAGAGTTTAGCCTCGGTCATTCTTTAGATCCCTTGTTTCACTCCGATAGTATCATAAATCGGTTCAATGCAGAGGATGCATTTCCATACTATTAAGTATTAAGTAAATGAAATAAATAAAACTAAGTAGGTAAAATAGCTAAAAAAATACAATATGGATTCTACTACATCACTTACTCTACTGGATTTTACGGAGCCTGCTCATGCACGACATGATTGGGTCTGATCATAGAAAAGATTCTCTTCAAACGAACCGGCCTATCCTATGTATGCGGCTTACGCAGTGGTTAGAACAAAGACACATTTGGTTGTGAATTCCAATGTGGCGGATAAAGGCATATATCTGCACGGCCAAAACAATAGTCCAAGTCACACACTCCCATAATCCACACTTTTCTCTTAGGAGAATTCACTTCAACTATTCATGTCAAATAAATAATACAATTTTTTTGTCCTCAACATCCCTTAATTTCTAGGAATTAGTCACTTCAACAGTCTTCGATGGTTATATGGGTATCCAAAGTACGAATGAGATGGATATTTGTTGTCCCAACCATTCTTCTTAGTCCCGATCCCAATAAGGAAAGGGAGAAATTTATAGCAAAGTTTTCGTGTTGTTGATTCCTAAGCGTAGTGCTTCTTCCTCTATGCGGCCTAGTGGTACTAGTGGAGCAGGGTTAACCTGCAATACATAACCCATAGCCATAGGTTACCCCTTTTTGAGGAGTAACCTTTTCTTCAACTAAGGAACTGGCTAGCTCTCCTACGCTTCCTCCTTTGCTTTTGCTACTGATGGCATACTTCACTAAATCAGTCTGATCTGTCTAAACGGTGCTTGTTGCGGCGAGGAGATCTAAGCTGGTAATCCCATCTATCTTGGAGTTTTATTTGAGACAAATGTGCCTGCCCGGTCTCATCTCGAAGGCAGGGACCAGTTATCGGGAATGGAGGAAGCTTCACTTTCTTACTTTCTCCTTTCTTATGAATCTTTATTTCTTTAGGGGCCTCTCTTATCTGCCTGTAAAGTTCCTTTCCTTCCTCTCTACCGTTGGTCTTTGTTTTGGCGTCGCCGAAGAACCACGTCACCCGTAGGCGGCAGAACCTTGATTACTTATGAGTGCCCTAGTTAGCTATCTCATCCAACCAATTATCTTTTCTGTATGCTCTATGCAGTTTTTGTGCTTTTCTTTTCTTATTGCCTTATCCACTCACTTTCGTAGTCTAGTATTAGTCAATAAACTATACTCAGACATTTATCAATAGCTCGCTCAAGTTGCTGCAAGGTAAGCTTCCAAGCCTCTAATGAGGCAAAGTATGGAATCTTGACGTATATATCTAAAAACCAAACTCTGCAGTGAGCAGAATATTCTAGTAAACTGGCATCAAGAGGGGGTTCTTTGCCCTAAAGAATGTAGACCTAATGTCAGTCCACATAGAATGTCTCCTTGGGTGCCCCTTTCAGATCATGTAGCTAGACCCAGATTGTCCACCCAATCCTGTGACCAGGGAGTTGAAAATGGAGAAAGTGTCACTATGTTATCGATTCCAAACATTTTAGCCATGAACCCGTGGAGATGGGGAGTATAGAAGTCTTAGCTTATGTGATGGATGACATAAGCTTTGGAACTGTGATTCGAATTCTAATTCATATTCTTTTATCTTTCTATCAGAATCAGATTAGGATTCCATTTTCGATTGGACCGTTGGCCTTGGATTCAGGTTCGTTTACTTATACATACACATAATCGGATTTTGATTCACAGATTTCCTGGATCCGACACGGCTTCTTTCTTTGTGCATCTTTCTTTCTCCCAGTTATTTATTGTGCTTGTATCGTTCTTGTATCAGTAGTCACAGCAGTTACATTCCCCCTTAGTTCCTGCTCGCTCCCTTTTAACACCATTGGAAAGGTCTCTGTAAGGCTCCAGCGTAGAGATAGCTTCCTTCTTTTTGTCTAGTCAAGCTAGAGGGGAAGGTGAGTTCTTTGCAAAGGGAAATCCTCTCTTTCAGGCCTTAGTCCGGCCTTTACATTATAGGTTGAGACTTTACTTAGCCATCACCCACCTTTTCATTCTTTAGTTTGTGCTGTCTGCCAGATAGCAGATGCATTGGCAGCTGGGCGCTCCCCCTCTCTACGCCCTTGCTTTTCAAGGGGTCCTCGAATAATAAGCAGAAAAAGTCTGCCTGGCCCTCTCCTCTCAGGCGCAGAGATGAATACAATTGAGCGGCGTCGCTGAACCAAAGGCCTTAGTATACAAGGGCACAGCCATTTCAAAATAAAAAGCAAGCCCAGTTTTTTTCCAAATAGTCAAGGCACGGTAACAAAGGTACTCGCGAACCTCGTAGCGGGGAGGCGGCTTATTGCAGCAATTTGAATCAGTAATCATCAATGCATAAGGGAATAGCACGAAGCGATGATATGCTTCGCAAGCAAATGGGTCAATGACTAGATAGCCACGGTAAGATGGAAGGCCCGCGCTAATGCCCTTAGAGTCGTCGGTCGAA